AAGGTTAAATTATAGTTAAATTTAGACCAGAACTTTTAATCGATGTATACAAAAATGTAAAATTGCGCATTTGAAACAAAAACCATGTATTGCACATAATAATAATAATAATAATAATAATAATAATAATCTAAGAAGACAAAAAGTAAAAAAGTAGCCTATATTCTTTTTTACTATATAGTTTTTGGGTTTTATTTTTTTAGGTGCATGAGTAGTGATCTATTATTTAAGTAAGATAGCTACTTGAACACATGTTTGGATGCATCCTATCTATCTATCTATCTATCTATCTATCTGTCGAGATGAAAATATGTGGCATGATAAATGCAAATAGGCTCAGAGCGAAACAGTGACCATGGGTCAACGACAAGCACCACGGGAGTGACGTAAGCGTCTTCAGCCACTGGACGAGGGCCGAGCTCCCGGGGGAACGAGGCTTTTTAGCGTCAGCACTCACTAATGGTCTATTAAAATATCAACTACTTCAAAGTAAACGGATTTGCCCCACACCAGCTCCCACCCCCTGAAGCTAATCAAACGCGGCGGCCAGGCCAAAAGAGCATAATCATTTTTACGTGGCAGATTACAAGGAACCACTTAGATCCGCTGTCAGAAGATCGGGTGTCCCAACACTCTCGCAAGGGAGTGCAGCTCTCCAAGCGCCAGCAGTGCAGGCTCCTTTAGGGGCACAGCTGTGAAACTGACGGTTTCCGGATGCAACAACTAAAGAGCATCTAAAAGTCACTGAAAGATGCTGGGTCTACGTGCTTTATAAATTATAAAGGACTTATTCCAGTAACGTTTCAGAAAATATTTAACAGAAACAAAATGATTTACGTGGCTTTAAGAACACATTAAAAAGTACGCTGATGTCTGCATTAGCTATATGATTAGTAACTTGTGAGTTTTATAGGCTTATCCATGTGCAATGTTTAATGTTACCATCATTGTCGAATGAAAGCCTACTCTATATCGGACATAAATAAGCTATTCTTTAGTGAATACCTTTCAGTCTATTTTCTGTTTATTTTTATACTTTTTAGTTAAAATACTTTTCAGACCATGTTTAATCTTCGTAACGAGTTAAAAAGCGCGTCAATTAACATGGTTTATCAAATCAATCAGAATTTTAATTCATGAGCGACTAAAAAGTAAACAGCAAAAATGAAAATCCTAAATGTATTATTATTATTATTATTATTATTATTATTATTATTATTATTATTATTATTATTATTATTATTATTATTATTATTATTATTATTATTATTATCCTTAATGTTGTCTTTTATCTTGATGTGGTATAATTTTATGAACAATGCATTCCAGCTGCCCCATGGTCAAAATAAATAAAAAGGATATTTAATTTGTTTTCTCTTCGTCTAATAAAGCAGAGAACGAGTCTATACTTGATTGACATGTTAGAAAAAAAAGGTTGAGGGCAGCTTTGAGGTCAAATACACTCCTCCAATTGCTGGAGGCGACATAAAAATTAGATTTTTCTTTTAAATCTTAAAGCGTGAATTGATAAGTGTTGTTTGATTTTAATATACGCTGATTAGAGTTTCTAGAATCCAGAAAGATTATTAAAAATTTTAAATCATCAAATTATACTTGCCTCATCTCATCTGATGAAACTACACTACGAACTACCTTTTCTACACAAAAGGGCCATATGGTAAATAACACAATTGATGAGCACTTTATTTTCCACATGAGGCCACGGTAGAATCTCTATTAAATACTCAAGAATTTAAAAAGCCATTGATGCATGCTGATGTCAGCATGTCCATAATAAAGAGATACTTGACCAATACAGAAATGGGAGACTAAACGATCTGCATTTTAAAGAATGATGTCACAAAACGCGTTATGTTTTGTGGCTTGTAACAAAATGAAAGCCAATAAGGAGAGGGAGATTGAGCACTGCCCAATCAGAGAAGAGAAGAGCTCAACGAGCTCAGTGCAGGGATCCAGTGGAGAGAGAGAGTGCCAGAAATCTGCCAAGCCCTCGTGCCAAAAACTTTTTACCCACAGACGAATGCGTCCAAGCCATCCTAAGTCAAGACCTGAATCTCGAGGAGTAATACATCATAAAGTAGATATTACTAGGGATTCCCTTACTCGTAGAGATAGACTTTTTCATTGTACAATTCCAGGGCAGTCCGAAATTGTCTGTGGAATAAACTCACTGGAAAGGTTCGGGTGGTGAGGATGGACCGAGCCCCAAGCTCCAGCCCAAGTGGCACCAGTCAAACATCACAACATACCCAACATGAACCCATCAGCTTCGGCATTGACCAGATTCTCAGCGGCACCGATCAAGAATCACAGCAGAACTCGACCAGGAATAATTCCGAGAGCAACAGCAGCAGCGCGAGCGGAGGCTGTTACCATCTCGGCAGCCCAACGGGAGCGAGCGCAACGCCGTACACGACACTAACCGGCACTTTTCATGGTATCGCGGCTCCATATGAGGAGTCCAGTCCATACGGAGTGAACTTGACCCTTGCACCCGGAGGAGTGATTAGGGTCCCGGCTCACAGGCCCCTGGCCGCGGCCGTGCCTCCACCCATGGCCAGCGCGGTACCCGGATTTGGGAGCCTCAGTTTTCCCTGGATGGAGAACAGCCAGCGCTTCGCAAAAGACAGGTTTGCAGGTAAACAAATACTACTATTCTTTCGATCTGTTATTTTCATTTTTTAACAAAAATCCTCGTGGTTGAAGTTATCAGAATCAGGAAATGGTGAATTGACTGCACAAATCACTCAAGTTCACCATTTGCGTTTTATAATAATAACACAAACATAATTGTAAAAAGTCCAAACTCGAAGTGAATTATGTTTTTAAATATTTGTATTTTGAGATGTCGGTGGTTTGTAGATTTGAGAAAAAGTCAAGCAGACTTAGGCTACAACTTATGAAATGTAAAACCGTACTAATTTCTTCTTTTAGTAACCTAACAGACTACTCTCTGGTGTGCTTTTTCTCGTTTTAAATATATTTATTTTTATCTATTATTATTTTTATTTTTTTTACAGCACGGCATTATTATGAGAGAATAACTAAAACAAAACAAAAAACACTTTAGCTATTGTTGATGGCACGCTACAATAACATGCTTTAGCAATAACTTTAGGCCTACGATATTATGTGATGCTTCAGTTATCATTAAAGTGCATTTAAACAATTAGACAATATATGTTATTAGCCTATAGTCTATATTTATATGAACGCACTACGGATTACTCAAATATTCTACATTTAAAAATGACGTATTTAAAGTCTTTGCGAGTTATCGGAATAGAAATGTAGTAGCAAAAATAGCATTAATGCACTCTTTCATTTGCCATTTTTAGTTGTGCAAACTGTGATGTTGTTGCATGTTTGCTCGTGAAAGAATCACAAGGATAAATTGATGGAGGTTTCAATACAGTAAATATTAGATAGTCTGTCTGGGAAACTTGATCCTGCTGTTTCCATAAAGAGGCGGCAGATGAATGGATGCTGAAGAGCTCGTTTTAGTTTTATTTGACCTTGAAGAGCGTGAAACACCTGTACTGGTTATGGGCGAAATTAAATGAAAAGAGCGAGAGAAAGTCAACACCTGAAAATGTTCAGCTTAGGTCAACGTGTCTGTTAACCGCACAAGTAAAAAAGATTTTTTTTTTTTTTTTTGCATGATTTTGCAATATAATTTAAGCGTATTTGACACATTTTAACACATATCTGAATAATTATCTAATCATTAAAATCATTTCATCTATTTTTTTTTAAGAATAAACAGTTTTAATTAGATATGCGGGCATTTGTTTTTGTTTTTCAAATACGTACTGAACATACACCTAGCGTGTTACATAAATACAGAAATAAATGAGTACTGTTATATTTAGTTTAACCGCTCTTTTGCATATGAATGTACACTCTTACAATTCAGGGCTGTCGCATAGATCACCAGCTTTCTTTATTCTGGGGTAAATGGCAAACGTTGTGCCATTAGAAAGACATATCAATATTTCACCAGCTTTAATTATTGCCACCTATAGCTGCGGTAACAGGCGCTCTCTGCTGCTCTGTGCGTTTTAGGTAATAAATAAATTAACAATGTAGGCAATTACTTTCATTAGAAGAACAGCTGCTGTTTGTATTTGATGCAACATTAATAAGATACGTTTTGTGATTTTATTGTACAACCTATATGTAACCTGAGTAACAGGCCTCTCAACAAATCCTAAGAGCATCAGCAATCCATCTATTTATGAGGGTTTTTAGTATTTATCAATCAATAACATAAAGTCTAATTTGACATCTAAAAGGTATAGTGCATGAAGGCATAGAGTAATTTATAATAATGAGGAACACAGTTTCCCTTTGACTCAGCAAGAGTCAGAAACTTGGGCTGATTAATGCAGCACACAATTACACAAACCTTTAAGAGAAAGCTGATTTAATGTGCAAAAAACAATTTGCTTCTTAACAGTCCTTCAGAAAAAAAAAAAGAAAAAAAAAACTTTATCCAATATTTATAGAATGAAAAATTTCTTGATTCTGAGAATATGCAATGCATCCCATTTTTGTGAGCTTGGGCAGTCTGTCTTTACAACATTTAAATGCATTTAAAATATATACACTATAATACTGCAAAAACAACAGTAATATTGTACCTAACATCTTGAAAAAAAATATATATACATTATTAAAAGGCAACAAAACAGATTTTGAATCTTGAAAAGGCAGGTTCCAATTGTGCTTTTTGTCTACTGAGAAAAATTATTTAGTGTGATAGAAGGATGTCAATAAGATGTGTGTCAGACTCTTCATGACTTACCTCACCTCTCACTGGCTTTTCTCTCCTTATTCACATATCACAGCAGCCCTGACGCCTTTCACTGTGGCTCGGCGTATTGGTCACCCGTACCAGAACCGCACACCACCTAAGAGAAAGAAGCCTCGTACGTCTTTCTCCCGAGTGCAGATCTGTGAGCTGGAGAAGCGCTTCCACAGACAAAAATACCTGGCCAGTGCTGAACGAGCAGCTTTGGCCAAAACTCTGAAGATGACAGACGCTCAGGTCAAAACCTGGTTTCAAAACCGCAGGACCAAGTGGAGGTGAGACAGAGAGAGAAAGGCAGATATATTTTAATATAAGATGTAGAAAGGTTTAGAAAAATGGTGAAAAACTCAAGTGTGATCAGGTATGGAACAAAGGCATAAAAACGCCACAGCTTCAACAGACAATATTTGCCCATACATATAATTTTTTTTTTCTAAACATTTGTCTGGACATTGATGGTGTCCAATAACACATACTGTGAAATAGGTGTCCTGATTGTTTTACTGCTGTAACATGGATTTAGCCAGAGGCGCTGTAAACAGGCAACAGAAATTATGGGAATGATAGGCAGATTTACTTGATAAAAATTCAAATCTGGATATAAAATTATTAAACAGACTGAAATGTATATTTTAACTGCCCCATTTAAAAGTTTAACAAACTAAAGACAAGACTGAACTATATATACATTACGGATATAATTTTAATATATTTGATCTATCTATCTATCTTTCTATCTATTTACAGTATCTATCTATGTTTAGGTATATATACCTAAACATAGATAGATACTGTAAATAGATAGAAAGATAGATAGATTAAATATATTAGACTAACCAGATTAGTGTCTGTAATGACCTGAAATCACTTTTCAGATTTGACCTACTAACGGCCATAATATCTGTAAGAATTAATGGGAAAATAATGGTGTTGTCAAGAAGAAATATGAATTATTAATTAAGGCAAGGCACTAATGACATGCCACACTTTGGAGAAAAGGAGGGGCTGCTTGGACATTACACAGAAACTTTTCGGCTCCATGTGCACATCACGAAATTTCAAAAACTTAGATGAATTATACTCAAATCTATATGTTGCTAAAATATTCACACGATTAGTGATTTGTTCCTCAAAGATCTCCATATCTTGTTGTAGTCTTAAATACTTAATGTTGCTTGGAATTTCTTTCACCCTGTAATTTCACCCTTTGCACTGGAAACTGAATATCTGCAGTAAATGTGCACATGAGCAATTTTGTGGCAAATGAAAACCTCTACTCCTCTAATTTTCTCCATCTTTTCCCTCCATCTCATGTCAGGCGGCAGACGGCAGAGGAGAGGGAGGCAGAGCGTCAGCAGGCCAACCGGCTGATGATTCAACTCCAGCACGATGCCTTTCAGAAATCTTTGACTGATTCAGTTCCAACAGACCCACTCTGCATCCACAACTCATCACTGTTCGCCCTGCAGAACCTACAGCCTTGGGCGAGCGAGGAGAGCGGCAAGCTCGGGGGAGTGACTGCGCTCGTATGAGTACCAGAACTCAAGAAGCAAATGACATTCTCGTTCTTTTTTGATGAACTGGGATGTTGGTTGACCTTATTTCCATCCTAAAAGACTATTTCATTCCACAAAAAAGTGAGGAACTAATATTGGCCATCCAACAATGAGCAAACCCATATAAATAAAACAGTTCTGCGTCGTATGAGCCTCTGCAGAATAAACAAAGTCCGTTTTTTTGTGGTGTGTCTGTGAGTACAGAGATTTTTTTTTATCCCCATCAGGGTCAGTTTCATTGACAAAGTCACTTGTAGAAGGGAACAGGCCATCTCAGCTGACCCTTTTACTAATCCACTGATCTTCTCCTCCATCCTTTCATTTGCCCTTCTGCCCCCCTGAGTAATTTCTCCACCACTCAGAGCTGTAGAATACAGGATTAATGCAAAAGAGGGAAGTAACGATGAATTAATTATTTATAATGTGAATTGCATGACCTAAAATGCCCCCAATATGGCCATTTGTGGGGAAAATGGACACAAACACGCACAAATAAACACACACTTTTCTGTCATCGATCTAAGTTATCTTTTTGTCAGGCTGGTAGTATATGGATATTTCATCTTTTTTGGGTTCAAAGGATAACCAGCTACTTTAAAAAAAAATTCTTTTAATGAAACTACATCCCAACCATTTGAGGATTCACATGAAACGTCCAGAAGACAGGCGTATGACGTTGTACAGGGTGGTTGCAATTTATTTTATCGGTTAGATTTACTCAGCAGTGATTCCAAATGCCGCTCAGAAACTCCTCAGAATCATGCTTCCATGGTTGAATGTTGTGTGAAGAGGGAAAGAACAATTTCAGATGAAACAAGGGTTTGTTAGATGCTCCTATAATGTAGGTGTGCTGTTGCATCCCAAACTCTGTATTATACTTTGTATTTGATAAATATGTAAATAGCAAACAAAAAGTAATAAACATTCTGTTTTGGCATTAACACAAAAGGTGTGTTTTGCTTAATTTGTTATTCCCCTAATGTTTTTTTTTTCAAGAAGAGGCATTTTCCAAATCCCTAAGCAGCACTCTTCTCTTGAGTAATGCGTTGCTTTCAGAGGCCCTACTACTGTTCTACACAATTTGATCGACAAATAAATACCGAGTCCTGGTAGTTGCTTGCAGTCGATTATGCCTGCCACAGCAAAGAAGCACTTATGTCCTCACGCAGATAATTGCGGGATCCTGTGGGACCATAAAAATGCCTTTATGCCCTCTGCAACCAACTCCCTCCTCCCAAAGTGCTGACTCTCAGGAACTGACCTGTTTTAAAGGCCTGGGTGGGGGGTAAATGGAGGGGTGTCCATTATAAAGTGATTTAACAGACTCCTTACATTATAATGCTGTCGAAGCCTCCGCAGGGTGAACCTGTGGAGTTCCGCCACAGCTCTTTACGGACAGATGGTTAGTAATGACCTGTGCCAGGGCCTCTTTGACTGGAGAAGGTGAGGTGATGTGTACAGTTGAGTCGGGGTCATCTGAGAAAGCCTTCAGTAATACAGACTCAATGCTCAGGATAATTTACACAGGAAGTATTCCTGGCTCCTTTCCATATCTACAGCCATGCCATCACTTCTACAGTTGCTCAACTACAAATTGCTTGGTAAAAGGCGGTGTTTTGCTGCCCTCTGCTGGCTATTACGTGAAAGTGATCCTATGTCAGTCTACAGCCGCAAACTTATAACGAGAAATGTAATATATATGAAACGTCTAAACATATTAAACATATATTTAACTTATAAGTGCATACAATTATCCAATTTGGTTGAAAAAAAGGTGCAAAACATGTGAATCGTTTTAGAAAATATATGAATATTGGCAAACCGTAGCAACACAACACTGTGCCTAGCTAGACAGGCTCTAAAAGCTGCCAGGGCCGAGCATATCTGCAAACTCATAGGAAACAACCAAAACAATCCAAGGTTTTTATTTAGCACAGTGGCTCAGACGAACTAAATATTTCCTTACAGTTTTCACTGATAAAATATATAGCATCAGAAATACAATAGCAAACGTAGAATCTACAGCATCTTATAATTCCGCTTCATTCATCGCACCCAAAGAAAAATTGCAGTGCTTTACAACTATAGAACGATATGAAGAGCTAAATAAACTTATCACGGCATCTAAACCAACAACATGTTTATTATATCCTGTAGTACCCACTAAATTAATGAAAGAGTTGTTACCTGTAGCAGAAAAACAACTTCTCAATATTATTAACTTATCACGTCCCAAAACCCTTCAAGCTTGCGGTTATTAGCCACTTATTAAGAAACCACTAGATCCTAGTGAATTGGCAACTTACAGACCCATTTCAAATCTTCTGTTAATGTCTAAAATTTTTAGAAAAAAGTTGTTTCTGCTCAATTGTGCTCCTTCCTGTGTAAAAAAAAAAATGAAGTAAAAATATGAAGTATAAAATATATATATATGAAGAATTTCATTCAGGTTTCAGGCCCCATCATAACACAGAAACTGCACTTGTTAAAATTACAAATGACTTCTTGTGTCAGACCAAGGCTGCATTTCATTACTATTTTTACTTGATCTTAGTGCTGTGTTTGACACTATAGATCATGACATACTCATAGATCGATTACAAAACGATATGGGTATTCAAGGGCATGCTTTAAGAAGGTTTAGATCAGGGGTCTCTGAACTCAGTCCTGGAGGGCCGGTGTCCTGCAGAGTTTAGCTCTAACTTGCCTCAACACACCTGCCTGGAAGTTTCCAGCATGCCTAGTAAGACCTTAATTAGCTGGTTCAGGTGTGTTTAATTAGGGTTGGAGCTAAACTCTGCAGGACACCAGCCCTCCAGGACCAATTTTGAAGACCCCTGGTTTAGATTCTACCTGCCCGACCGTTACCACTTTATTTAAACAGGGAATCATCTCAATTAACGCCAGTAAAGTATGGAGTGCCACAAGGATCTGACTTACTCCCTCTGCTATTTTCAATATACATGTTGCCCCTTGATAATATTATTAGAAAATATGGGATTAGTTTCCATTTTTATGCTGATGATACTTAACTATATATTTTAACAAGACCAGATGAAACTTCTAAATAATCTAAGATAACAGAGTGTTACAAATGTAAAAGATTGGATGACCAATAATTTTCTCCTATTAAATTTGATTTCTCCTATTAATTTTCTTCTATTGAATACAATATCTGCACAGGCTACCTATTAAGTTCCCTATCAGTTACAAAATATCACTACTTATAAGGCCCTAAATAGTTTAGCTCCTGCATACCTAACCAGTCTTCAATCACGCTACAATCCATCACGGTCCTTAAGGTCGCAAAACTCTGGACTTGGTAGTATCTAGGAAAGCAAAGTCCACTAAAGGAGGTAAAGCATTTTCACATTTGGCTCGCAAACTCTGGAATAGCCTGATAATGCTCGGGTTCAGACACATGCTCTGTTTAAATCTAGATTAAAGACACATATAGCCAAGCATTCACATAATGCATCTAATAACCTTGTACTTCAGTTATATGTGATCAAATGCACATGATCATTCTTTGCTTGGTTTGAACAGCAGCTCCGGGATGGGAATCCTGATGTAACTTGGAATGACACAAGCTTCAGCCTGGATTCAGCCCTTACGAAGATCTGAGATGACCAAACACCTGAGAAAAGAAGATTCCATCCACCCTGAACCAACATACAAAACTACCAAATTTTCCTGAAAGTTTGATCACAACATATGATCAGTGCTCTTAATAATGCTCACCGTTTGTTTGAATACATGCCATTAACTGCATGATTTTTTTTCTGTACATATCTGCCATATGGACATCACCTAGAAACTTTCACTTTCTGTGAAGCTTTCATTTTCGTGAAAAACTTTATACAAATAAAACTAATATGTCCCCTTATCCTTGCTCTCATTCTTTTAAGTACAAACAATCTTATCATTCACATTTTCCCCCAGTTGAGTGTTGGAAGACATGAGTTATTCGTTCACTTTCTTATGTGTCAGCTGTATTGTTTAAGATTATGATTGTATTTACCTGGTAATAATTTTGAGCGATCATAAAATTCGAGGTGCATAAAATGCTTAGACTAGTCTTACTAGTAAGTCATCAAATTAATTTTTTCTTTAAGACTGGTCATAATTTTACATTGGTTACATAAAAACAGATTTATCCGAAAAAATGAGACTCATTACCCCTTGCTAAATGCTAGGTGTTCAGACTAGTTAAGAAACTCTTAAAGACAGATGTCACAGTCAAGCACAGACTTCTCCAGAGCAACATTAAATGGGTTAACACTTGTGAAATATAAGCTTTATTTGTATTTAAACAGATTTAAGGAAGTCAAAAAAGTGAACCACATCTGAATTGCAGTCCAGAGATTAGATTTAGCTGCACAGACTGTCATATTACATATTCATTGTTGACGTTTGGATTTCTTACAGTTGACTAATCAATCCCAAACATTCAATACATCCCACCTTCAAGCATATTACAGGATACTGATATTGACAATTACAAAAATAACGAACTGCTGAAATAATGGAATTCATCACTGATACCATTCTGAAAAACCATTAATCATGCATTGCAAATCATGTCAAGCTGAATTCAGTAAATTGATTCTCAGGCACATCTCCAATCAGAATGCCATACACATTTCCATGTCATTTTAAAGAAACCATGGAAGGGTAGTCAACAAGCTACCAAATTAAGGCCACACTCCCTGCACATGACAACACCACAGGGGTGAGGAGAGGCCAGATCGCAAAGGATGAAAAAGGTAATGTTCTGAGTTAGTCTTTTCAAGGAATGGCACGGATTTGAGAAAAACTGAGGGGTATGTTGGACAAACATAATATTGAAGGTAACCAAAAAGTAAAACCATGGTCAAAAAAAAAAAAGGTGCCTAATAATTTAAGCAAAATAAAAGGGGTTTTAGTTATTTTATTTGACACTCTGTCTCCATTTCCAGAGCTCCTCGATTACCTTGAAGGAAAAAACAAAAAGCAAAAGAACAGGTAAGACCTTCATTCATGATAGGAACTTATTATAATTAATTCAAGCATACAATGACTTGAATACACCTCTTTGATAATTAACATTTTACTTTAATTTATTTTAAACATTTGGGGGCCAAAAAAAAAAAACCTGTGTCCCAAAATTATGAATTTCCTCATTAAAACTTTTCATATTATTTCTTATATAAAAAGCAACGAAGCAGTTATGTTAACACTTCATAAATATTTGAAAAACTACTGTGTGCCAAATCTAAACTCACAAACATAAAAAAAAAAAATCTGTCTTAAGACATTATTTGTCATTGTTGTGTTGACAAATGTTCAATGGTCAAAAGAGGTAGCTCCACCCGAGACTCACACGATTGGTAGAGTCAGTGTTGCTGTTGCAGACCAGTCAGAATATATATATTTTTTAATTATTATAAAATAGAATATTATTACTAAAATATTTATTTTTATATTTAATATTACTGTAATACAAACAAAATGTAAAAATTATTTTATTACACAAAATATTATTACACATTAAAAACAAAAACATTTACACTAGCGAATTTGAGTAGCCTATTATTTTCTATTCACTATTAATTCCTATAATTGAGTGTAATTTCTATAAATATTCTGAATGAACCACAAAGACAACATTATATTAACTAGCTTAACTTGGAGGCAAGTAATGGCAGTGAAGGTGAAGCTGAGAAGTATGAGGGGCCGTACAGGCCATAATTATTGAAAAGCCTCTTACAAGCACTAGTGAAACGAAAAACATTGATAAACCTTAGTGAAATTCATTCATATGCATAACTGAAAAACCTCTTACATACACGAGTGAAACGAAAAGATCAACCGTAGTGAAATTCATTCATATGCATAACTGAAATAAGTAAAGATTTCAGTAGATGATGAGAGCTAATTTCACTTGAAATCATTTAGTTCAGTAAAAGAACAGACACTACAATTAAAAACTGAAAGCGGCTGCTCAATGCAGGTGCAGCGTGCCGAACGACAGTCATCACAGATCAGATTTCATTTATCCAGTGAGGAGAGTGTGTCGAGCCGACTGACAAGAACAGTGAGGTGAGACAGACAAAACGATCGCGGATGATTTAGTTTCGAAACGAGACGCAAAAGCGCCTGTTTGGCAATATTTTGGATTTTGAAAAGCCTGTTGACTTTTGCCGTTTATCTAAGGTGATTTTGGGGTGGTACTAAAAAAAGTACCAGGTACTGTACCCAGTGGAAAACCCCCCAAAAGTGAACCGTACCGAGCCGTACCATGCAGTGGAAAAGCACCAATAGAGAAGCACCTTCTGTGTAACAAGATGCTGTCCCTGATTCCAGTCATTTATCTGACAAAGTCATCATGGCTGTAAGCACGTAGTTTTACAGTGATTTGTGGGGTGATATCTATATCAAAACAACATAACACAATAGCAGTGCACATACCTTTGCTTCTGTGACTTTGAAGCCGTTCTTTACATAGTTCTCAAACTTCGGCTGTAATTTTGGCAATGCTACACCCTGAGGAAAAAAACAAAAAAGCGTTTTAATTGCTATTTTCTGGTATGTTTTTTTTTTTCTTTTCAAAAATATCATGGACTAACCAAACTTTTCCTATAATATCCCATCGATCAAACCATAGAATGATAATGGTTTCTTACTAAACACAATAACTCATTGGCTACGTTTACATGCACAATTTTTGGTTCAATCAGACTGAATTCATTTCGATTGATGAATCTGAATGTAGTGTTTACATGAACGCTAAAAGTGATCGGGTTGATGTGCGCATTTATGTCACAAGCTTCAAATCGGAATTGATATTTTTTGACATGCGCACACTGCACAAATATAGAGTTTCTCACTGTTTGCACATAATAACCTCTTCTACACGGTTTCTTTATTTGTTTTTAACAGCAGAATGAATATGTATCTATTTATGGAAAACATGTAAAGGAATGCAAAGGAAAACATACCTTTTCTACACTCGCCATCATCTTGGCTTTGATCTCTGGGACAGTGAAAACCCGTGGCGTCTGTGGCGACTGTGTTTTTTTGTCATCCTTTTTGTTCTTTTCAGGAGTCTTGTTCTGTTTAGCAGGCGTATTGGCCTTGGGTCCTTTTCCGTTCTGTGCAGGGGTCTGTGGTTTGGATGGTGCCTTCTTTTCCTGACAGAAAAATTGGGAAAATAAGCATTTCTGATCACACTTTTAAACATTCTACAAGACGAAGGGCCTGATTAACTAATTTTACCTTTACAGGAGTTTCTTCTTCACTTTCCTCCTCCTCAACATCTTCATCATCCTCCTCATCATCATCCCTGGAACGTAAAATAGAAATATAATTTCATTTACTTTTTTTTTTTTTTTTAAATACTATTTCTAAAACACTAAATACGTATGACTTTACATAGATGGCAAAGACAACACTTACTCATCATCATCCTCCTCTTCATCCAACTTCATTTTTTTCTATGAGAGAAAGTTGGTTAGAAAATGAGACAAATTACACATACATACATACATACATACATACATATATTAGGGCTGGGCGATATAGCTAAAAAAGATATCAATAATATGTTTCATATCGTTTGGTATCGATAATTATTGACATTTTTTATAACCTTTTTTAAAACAGAGCAATAGAAATAAATGTTTAAATTTAACCACTGCATTTTTAATTTGCCCTCGGGAAACAAGTCAAAAGTTTCCTTAAGACTTATTTAATCTGCATATAAAACATAAGAAAGGAGATATTTGTTTACATTTTATTTCGTTTGACTGTTAAAAAAAAAAAATAAATAAATAAAAAAATTTATATATATATATATTTTTACAGTCAAACAAAATAAAATTTAAACATATCTCCTTTCTTATGTTTTATATGCAGATTAAATAAGTCTTAAGGAAACTTTTGGTTTGTTTCCCGAGGCCACAGGAGGGCGCAATGAGCAAAATAATGCAGCGCATTAATTGTCAATTCAAATAACGGTCTATAAAAACATGCATAACAGCTAAATTTACATATATAAATCAAATATAATTTTGTAAACTGCATAAACAATTATGAACAAAACAGCATCATGCGTTTATGCATTGCTTAGCCTAATACAAAGAGCCAAATCGCCGACCACACAGATTGCATTTAACCCTCTAAGCGCCAAATTGCGACAAGACATCATACTTAATAAAATGTAGTTCCTAATATGGTGTAATATCTCATTTGTATTCCCTACCACTAGATGGCAGACATGTAGTACTTCGATTCTCATATCGGGATATCAATTTTGGCCATATCGTCCAGCCCTATATCGAACATTTTTTAAATATCGTTATCGATGGTGTACCGTCGATAAATATCGATACCGTTTTATCGCCCAGGCCTAAAATTACATATACATATATATATATAAATTAAAGGATCCTAATTCATTCCAGAACTTACTGAAAGCTTCTGAGTCACCGACGCTGGCCTCTTCTTAGCTGTGGTCAGCGTCTCTTCTTCTTCCTCCTCTTCCTCCTCGTCTTCATCAAAGGACTGGTCTCCTTCCATGACTGAAAGAAAAGTTCAAAAAATAAGAAGCTTCCTGAAATTCCCAAAGCAGTTTTCTATTAGTTCTTATCTAAGACAATCCCAAATAATCATACACCTCTTCAAGTATTATGAAATACTCACTGACGAGATGCTGTCCACTAATGTGAACTGGACCGGAACCAGAGCGTAGACGGAACACAACAGGTGGCGTGATCTCAAACCCACCCAAACACACCTGCGATACAAACACATCTTTACTTAAATTCAACAAGAGCAATTCATGGAGATCAACTCAAGTTTACCCAAAAGATGTGTGAAATGACATTGCTCAATGGATGGACACTGTACTTACGCTGGGGAGAGAGGAAGGCTTGAGAGTGGCCAGAACTACCTTGACCTTCTGACCCTCTGAATCTTGCCCTTCGATCTCCACAACGTTCAGTTCGTCTTTTGTTGTGGGATCAACGCAGGCCTGCAACAATTAACAAATAAACAAATGCCTTATATATGAAATTTAAAAGTTACTGAAAATTGGAGGACCGTTTAAAAAAGGCCACATACCATTCTGACTGACAACTGATGATCATAATTGTCATCCTCTGGATTAAAACGGACCTCCTTGCCTGCCTGGAGCTCACAACCTGTAAAAACAAACAAGTTTATTTTAAAAGTATTTAAAAAAAGCATTAAGATCCCTCCTTTAATGAAGTTTAACTTCTGCAAACCTGTATTCTCAAGCAATACTCTCTCCAAACCAATGAAGAGATTCATTTACTTTGGCACGTGGTCCACAATACAGATCTTTAGGTTTTTTTAAAAAGTCAGTGAACCACTCGGCCTGATTCAATCCGATTCGTGAAAGAAAATCATTCTGCCCAGTTTCGTGAACCGATTCATTGAAATAATCTAGCTCCAAAGAATGATTCGTTCACGATAATTTTTATAGCCTGCATTTCACTGCATCGGTTTTTTACATTTACGAGGCTCTACTGCAACAAAACTAACAAAATGCAGCCATAGTTTCAGGTGGAAGCAAGGAACTACACGTGGCAAGGTTTGCGAGATGCTCTACAGGTTGAAATTTTAATTTACTGCTCAAGGCCTGACAATGCAGACGGAATTTTTTAACCAGGGTCGCGTTTTTATAATAAGCAAGTAGATGATGGAGAACACTGATGGCAATAGTTTTAAACGCCGTTAGCGTTGGTATAATTAGAGCAAATAACCTGTGTGTGTTTGTTAGGAAAACGAAATTTAGGGGAAAAAAATAACCTAATGAGCTTTCAGTTGACTTATGACATATAACTAATAATACATTTTTAAGTTAAAGGCTAGCGAGCGAAATTCAGACACTTGAAGCGTTGTCTCATCTAGTAACACGTGGAGCACAGTGACGCCATTTTGAAGCGCCAGTGAGTGCACGTGTTTAGCGAGCGCGTGCAGGGAGACACGAGCTGTGGCGGTTTCGTTGTTTTAATAACTTATTCAATTTGTAATTTTATTTCGAATTTGATCATAAAGGCTAGAACAGACATAAATAGGTGTCAGATTAATTGCTAACTACCACTATGAATAATCTAGTGCTAACCGATTAGCTAGTGCGAATGCTCTACACGTGTTGTAGTTTAATGTCACTCCACATCCAGCCATTTAATAGCTATATTACAATGCATGTATACCAGCTAACACATCAACACGTGTTTTTAAGCAAGTTAAGTCTGACAATATAACTTGGGGTAGTTGGCAGGCTGCGATAACGCCATGCTCTTACAAGTGCATATCGCCAAGTTTACGTACTATACGTGTGATCTAATAGACTATATGACAAGAACGGATCAAGATAAGTATTTATCGCATCACATACCGTACAGGAAGGTTTGGGGACCCATTTGTTCGAGATCCATCTCTGTTGGCTATATGAGTGGCTGTACGTAGACTGAACTGTGCCGCGCGCTCGAGTGCAGGATGGACACATTAACCCACATTGAGTATGTCACGCCCATTACTGGGACGGTCCTCCTGCTCAGCCAATGAATAAGCTCCATATCACGGAGTTCTTCTTCTTCTTCTTCTTTTAGGATTTAATGGCGGTTGGCAAACCAACTTAAAAGGTGCATTTCCGCCACCTACTGGAAAGGAGTGTGAAGCGCACAATGAATAGGAACTTTAGAAACAAGAGCTACCTTATAAAAAAAAGTCCATCAATTTCTGAATATGGATTTTAAAATTCAACTTCGAATCCATCCATATTCCTAGAAATCGAACAACTGATGTTTGCGCCAACTCTTGACCATACATTTTTATCACGGAGTTTGGTGCTAGGTTGAGATGCGCTCTGCAGTCTAGAGCATGACATTTATCCGGCTAAAATCGTGTCTTGGAAGATTTAAATTAAATGTGTTCCATTTGCGAATTGTTTGCATCAATAAAATAAATCACTGTAAAAATGTTTGTTCAAAGTAAAGAAAAAGATTATTAAAGTACTGTAGTTCAATTAGTGTATATATATATATATATATATTCTGTTGTCTCTTTAGCAAAGCAAGCAGTGAAACATTTTAATAAAACGTTTACATAAATGATTAACATTAAACATGATGAATTTAAGATGTCATAATCAAGTTTTTAAATAATAATAATTCACAATAAAGTGATGGCGTTCATATACTCTACCAGCACCTAGGAAAAAAATAATAATAACCCAACAGAATGACCCCAAATCTTCAGAGTATAAACAATGAAATAAGAAAACACAGCTGAATGTTATTCCACAAATGTTTTTAATCGGTTTTGACTGAGATTTGAATTGCACAGCATATTTCTGATACTTTTTCACAGTTTATATCTGCCTCATCGGACATTTCTTCATGTGGCACCATACTTGCAAGAATATACATAGCTTATATGTCTTCCAAATGGCCCTGACCCATAAATAATTATTATTTTTCCTTCTTTTCCTTCCTTGTATTTGTCCTTCTTGAAAGTATGCAGAGGTATCTGGGGACAGAAGGGTATCCAGGGACTAGATTGTCATTTGTTGGGCTTGAATACAGTTGTGATTTTGTAGTTTCCTTAATACTCCTGACTTACTTAGACACACACACTTTTAACTTCTGTCCCACCTTATTCATTATGATCTGGTGGGCAAAAATGGCTTGGCAAGTACTGAGACAGATAGACATACATTAAGCGGGTGGACTGGAAACAACAATTGCTAATAAACAACGCTTACAAGACAAGACAAAATCAACATTCAATTAAGCATCCTTTAAACCCCATGTCATAGATAAATAAATCATAAAATTAGATTTTTTGAAGGCCAGCATATTTTCAAGCAACTGATAGGGAACAAATCTGCTGTTTTTTCTCATGCAAGCTCTTTTGGCAAAGAAAGCAAGCAAAGGAGGCTGTATTTCCTCCTGAATGCAGTTCCAGTACACCAAATGTAAAGTCCTGAGCTCTAGGGTCAAGCAAATGAAAAAAGCCACTCAAGCTTTCTTTTTCGTAGGGAAGAAGGATGTTGATCATCACCACCCACTAGTCAGGAAATGCCTTTCAAACATATGTAGTCTTCCGTGGCTGGATCAAAGTGGATTCTGGGCAATTTCCCAAAACACCAGCAAGAAACAACACTGAATATGTTACAAAGTTTGAATAGAGAGAGAAAAACAAAGCCCACAGACTCTTATCCCTCTCTGGCCATCATATTCCCCCAGAACTCAGTTCAGTGAAATATAGCAAATATATATTTAAACGTAAAATCCCTCTTGCATTATTTCGTGTTCATTTCTTCTTCTCTACATCACATTTTCAAAGAGCTGCATGGATCTCATCATGTTTTCATCCTGGTGAAAAAAAGAGAGAAACGTTTAGGTGTAATTCATCAGTTTGACCACACTGAGGCAGTATAACCTTTTCAGCGAAACTTGATCCCGTTACATGACCATTGCAAAGGATTTTCGTTTTTTTATTTATTTTTTTATTTTATAAACATACAGTATATGGCTTTTTCAAGTAACTAATGCTGTTTTTGAGCCATGAATCATTTTGCATGTTTAAGATTACTATTACTATTCTAGCAGAAAGTTATGTCAAAAAGTATTGACAGGATGCAGTTCCAAATTCAGACTTAAATAGATTACAGCATGCAATATGAACATACCTCCTGACAGGCAAGGACAAACTCTTCCAATGTTACAACTCCATCTTTGTTTTTGTCCATTTTCTGTAGGAGAGAGAACATTAATTTGGGTTGCTCTGACATTTTTTTGTCTGTAAAAATCACACATAGAGTATTGCTACGGATGAATATAACTATTCATACAAATGTTTTATCACAAAATCAAAAGAAATGTATAAATCAATAAGAAAATGAAGTATACTTTGAACCACATTATAATAACAAGAATTTAATTAATGAGAATCACCACTGAGTATATTGGGAATGAAAAAAAAAAAAAAAGTTAATTAATTTTGTCATTTTGTTGCAAAACTTAAACTTTTTTTAACATTCACTAAATAATTACTAAATACTGACCTCAAAGAAGACATCCACATGCTGTTTTGGTACATCCCCTTTTAAAGCCGGATACGTGTACTTCCCCATCATGTCATAGATGGCCCTCACTATCTCTGTCATTTCCTGTGAGGTACATGAAGACTGAGTAATTGAATTAAGTTATGTTAATTACGGCTGCCTATTTAAATATGATATACCTCCTTATTGATAAATCCGTCTCTGTTAATGTCATAGAGATGAAATGTCCATTCTAGTTTCTCTCTGACCGTCCCTCGCAGTAGAGTAGATAGTCCCATCACAAAGTCCTGAGAGAGAGCCAGAAAATAAATCCTGTGTGTAATGTCACTAAAAAAATAATATTTCTTGCTGTGCGCCACATTGTTCATACCTCAAACTTTATGGATCCATCATTTCTGGTGTCAAACGCATTGAAGAGATAATGTGCATATGTGCTGGCATCTGGTACAGCAATGACAACAGATGAAAACAATAGACACTTTAATTCTCTAAAATGTAGCCGTTGTACCAATGTAATATTTAAGGATTTCTCTTTTTTTTTAAGTACCTCCATGTGGAAAAAACTGTGCATAGATGTGTTTAAATGTCTCCTCATTCACCACTCCACTTGGACACTCCTGAGAGGAAAACAAAACATATTATTTAAAATTATAAATATATTATTGGCTTGAAACGGAGTCTTGCATATGCATATTGGATATAATAATTGAAGCTCCACAGGCCCGTAGTAGATGTAATTGGATTAGTTAAATTATAGAATATAATAATAATTTTATTAAAATATTTTTGTATTATAATTATAAATGTGATTTTTAAAATACATTTTTAATAATTATTCTACAAATCACCTGCAGTTATGTATCACATTTTATTTTCGTGAGAATGGTAAAAAATATGATGGGCTTCAATGCTCAAACGAAACAGGTTGAGAAGCATTGCCATTAAATGCCACACAGTGTTTTTGGTAAAGCTTTTTTAACCCAATAAATATGAGCTGCTGTGTGGGTTGCTGAGCCTTACTGTTTATGTGTGTCTAATAGAGCGTGTGAATGCTGGTATTGTGAAATATGACTAGCTGACTGTTGCTTGAGGCTAGCACACAGTGATTAGTGACACGCTAGATAATGCATAGAGGAATAATAAGAGTTTACAGAGTTTTAAAGACAGATGAGACACGGCAAACAGAACCACGGGGACAGTATATGCAGATGAGATGTGATGATGCATAAGAGAAGATATTGAGGCATAAGGATACATTACATACACACTATAAGCTTCTTATCAGATTCCAAAATGTGTCAAAAGATATTTGTGTAAAGTAAATGTGCAGATGTGGGAGTGATGCAACGGATGAGATGAGAAATACCGGGCAGCGTACATTTTTGAAGCCTCTGTAAAGGACTTGTAACTCTTGCTTGGTGAAGTTCGTCTGCGCCTCGAGCTGCTCAAGACCCTCAGGCCGATGGCAGACCATTGTCATCTCTAATTCATCATCTACATTATCTAGAGAGAGAAAGCAAGCAACATGTCAGTTTCAGGCTGATAAATGATCACTGCTTGCTCAGCGGTTGCTCTTTCACAGCACAGTAAATATCAACATTTTCTCAGATGCTCCTTCTCCAATTTCTTTAGAGAAATAAAAGTGAGACAAATAAGACAGTTGTTGATAGAGCAAGGCTAAGAATTGGATGATAAATGACTGCATTCACATGGAAATCTCAGCCTTCATCTTAGCAAATTTGAGCACAGTGTGGGAAAATATTGAAGAGTCTTTTGAAACTCTAGAAGACACTTGTGAATTTCTTAAAACCTTGGAAGCAAGAGACTTAATAATGAATACTTTATTATTATTTAGTAGTTTGATTTTAAGTTTTACACATTAACCCACATATTTTTACCTTTTTTATTTACACGTTACCCTTGGGTGAAATTATGCGTAGTCATGATATTGCTTTCCACTGCTACGCAGATGATATGAAATTGTATGTCCCGATAAAGCCTGGTACCACGAATGCATCCTGTATCATGTCCTGCTGCACCAAGATGGGATTTCGAAAAATGTTTTGCAATTGAATGACTCCAAATCAGAGGTGCTTATAATTACCCCATGCAGCTATATGAATATATAAAAATAAATTAGCCCTAAAAATCCTATAGTGTTTCCGGCCAAAAATGACTGGCCTTTAAAAAAAAATTGCTTGTGAATCTTTCATTATGCTATATTATAACTTGTTTTCTTTCAGTTTGCACAGGATTTGAATCTCTTATTGGAAATTATTGGACATAGGCCTTATTGATCTGAGATTTTGCATCTCAGTTTTTTGAGTGAAAAAAAGAACATTATTTGTGGTTCATAATATAATGTTCATTTAAAAAGAACATACTACTCAATTCCAAAAAATAAATGTTTTTTTCACACATTTTTTTTTTTACGCCAGTCATGTTTGATGGGAACAGCTTTTAAAAAACTGGGGGGAAAATCCTAAATGTTGGAAAGAATCCTTGTGCTAATTGGGTGACACCTCCCCATGTAAATATGCCAGTAGCGTAGTGTTGTTTGGTGACGTGAAAAAAGAATATTAAACAATGGAACACTTAATATTGTGCTTTACCACTGGAGACAACGGGAAGACAAATAACGGACATAAACATTGAACAATGGCAAACACAAATTGGAAAGATTTAATGACAGAGAAAATCCTAAGTTGTAATGCTCAGTAACACTTTCTAAAACTGACTATTATAATTTACATTATAATATAGTCTAATCTGCATCAAATTTAGAGACCATCATGCTGATCCACATCAATAGATGGCAGTACAACGTCTAAAGGTGTGGTCAAAAATTTGCAGGCGAAAAAGATCCATTGTCTGTTGTCAATAGGGTATTAATGTATGGAGCACAGCTCACACAAAAGTCACTTTCAAACAAAGCAGCTTTCTGTTGGTCAGCATTGGAATCCATGCATGACCAACCTAAACCTGATGCAAAATCTGCGGGTAAATCATTTACTCTCAGACAAAATTCCTGATAGTGTGGATATTGAAATGACTGGATTTTACCCGTCAAAATGCGTTGAACAACCATATTTGACTGCACCATCACTCCATTGTGGTATCAGTACTTAAAGTACACAAAGAACAGCAATGCTAATGCTAGCTAGCTAACTACTGAATGTCCCTTAAACAACAAGTAATCTTTAGTTTGGATTTTAGTTCGCTCTTTAGTGTGGGTAACCTTTTCTTCACCAGTGCAGCTGGTGAGATTACGGAAGCATCATGGGATTGTCGGTGGTGATTAGAAACACACTGTTTCCCTTTGCAAAAACAGAAACTGTGCTCGGGGCAAACCCACAATGTACACCTCCACTTCAAAGACTTTCACTTTGGTAGGAAAGAAACTGGGATGAATCATATGTTTCGAGATACACACAAACACACACAGGCTCATACACACTTGTGCACTCGCCCCCTGCAGGCCTTGCTTCTGCTGCTGCTGTGTCAGCTCCGGCAAAATGATTGGTTGTGGGTAGAGAGGCAGATGGGGTGATGGGGGAAATCAGTAGAATGAATGAAAATGGCCATGAGTGGCTTGAGGGAAGACCTTCATCTTTCACAGAACACTGGAGAGCCATTGCATCTCCTTATAAATGCTCCAGCCCTTTATAAATGCTCTCTCTAGTTTTACACACACACACACACACACGCACACACACACACACACACACTTTAACCTCCCATATATCCTGAAACACCCAGAGATGTACATATATACCCATAAAGTGATGGTGCTAACGGTTAAAGTTTTAAAATATTTGAGATGTTAAAATACTTTCTCATTTTGTTATATTGATTATTAAGTGTGCAGAGGGAACTATAAGAAAGCTATCCGTAGGATGATTTCCCTGAAGAGTATGAACATTGTGCTGCTTTCAAAAGCTCAATTCGTTTGAGCAATCCATTGTGTCACCTTTGGCTCGACCAATAGTGTGATTTTGGGGCGTGGCTACCTATAATAAGTTTGGCTGCTAATGTCAGGGGTGTGTTCCTGAATGCAGGATTGGACCATATTGTTGTTAAACCATATGTTGGTGAAAACATAGTTCTCTATTTGATAGGGCTCCAAACTATTTTGGATTAAACTTTCAATGCCAATCTATTACCTCAATTTTCCCCTTGTACTCAACATTTGGTCACAAAAGCTTTATGATTTTTTTTAGCACAGCCAGTAACACAACTCTCAGCCACTAATGAGATTTATTTATTCTTTATAGTGCTCAGCATTTTCTGAACACATAAAAGCACCAACACAGTCACACAAGAAGATAAAGAATGATCTCATTAGCTATTTCTGGAATTTATGGAAAATTGATTTCATCATGTTTAGCGGATATTCCCAGCTAAAGACCTGCTTAGAGCAGTATGAATGTCTGAGGTCCTACAGGCTGTCTTATGCTGGTGGGTAATTTGTGGCCAAACCAATATGCTTTTCATCAGCAACATTTCACCAGCATGATATTTCTGGTGAAGATGGTTGAAAATGGAAGTTTGCTGGTTAAGCTAGTTAAAAATCCCGGGGACATAAGCATCCAAAATACAACATGCACTACTATTAAAAAGTTTATATTTTAAGAAAAGTAATATATTTATTCAGCAAGGTCCCATTTAATTGATCATAATTTACAGCAAAAAACATTTGCAATGTTACAAAATAAATGCTGTGTGTTTTATTAATCAAAGATTTCTGAAAAAAAGTATGGTTTCTTCAAAAATATTAAGCAGCACAGCTGTTTTTACCATAATAATATGAAATGTTTCTTGAGCATCACACAATGATTATGTGACACTTAATGCTGGAGTAATTGCTGGTGAAAATTCAGCTTTGTCATCACAGAAATAAATAACATTTTAAAATCTATTAAAGGGGTCATATGATGCGATTTCAAGTTTTCCTTTCTCCTTGGAGTGTTACAAGCTGTTCGTGAATAGATAAGATCCCTAAAGTTGCAAAGACTAAAGTCTCAAACCCAAAGAGATATTCTTTATAAAAGTTAAGGCTCGTCCACGCCCTCCTGAAACACCTTGTTTAAACACACCCCCACATGTCTATGTCACTGTGTGGGAAGATTTGCATAA